ATACCCTCCTGATCCTATGTTAAACAGATGTTTTAACTTTTCTATGTCAAGTGTGTGTGTGTTTTAAGGTTTATAAATATAGCTTTTCTGTGACACAGTATATGCTTGTCTATTTAGGAGTTAAATCTATTTTGAATTTCTCTGGTTTACAGAGATCCAGAATACATCGCCTTGGACAACACGGTTATCCTCAAATCTCATTCCTCAATATGCGATTGCAGTCCTTAGATCCAACCTTTGGCCTGGAGCATATGCCTTTTCCAATGGCAAGTAAGTATGTGCCCACTTGTAAGGCTCTTACTTTGATGATTTAACTTCTGGAAATTATAAGTTATCACTGGAATGGTAAGTTACTACTGTTTTAACTCTTCTTTGGCATGTCAAGTCTGTAATGGCATAAGATGAATTCAAACAACATCCATCTTATACACCAAAGCATCAAATTCAGAATATTAGAGTAATTCTGACTTCTGCGTTTTCATCTGAATTATCCAATTAATGGAGCTAAAATGTGTTTTATTCTACAGTTATCTGAGTAATTGATAATCATTTCATGGAGGTAATTCTAAGCAGTGTTAAAATGAGTCTTATCATTTTTGTTAGATATCTTGAGGAAAGATAATTTAAAATATGTATGATTTAGGCTATCACTTTCAAGAGAATTAGGATAAGAGGATAGTCAATGTACTTTAGTCACCCAGAGCATATACTGCCATTTGTCTTATGCTTCCATTTCTTACTTAATAACCTAAGGTCAGAAGCTTGGCTGAGCTGGAGAACTGAGTGGTCAAATGTCAGAGTAGCCATGAGATCAACAAGCCAAAAATGAAAGTGTTTTCAAGCCTTTAATCACTTACTGTGATAGCATAAGCAAGTTGAAGCACTGATTCTACTTGCTGTCCACCACCTCATTCCATTTGCCCACATGGAATGCCACACTGGTGGAAAGTCAGATGGGTCCGCACAGTTGTGAGGTCATCCCACTGACAAGGAAGTCCTCAACATAAGGCTCTTGCAGTTGTATGGACCTGTGACCAGAGGAAGGTGGGGAGGGCTAGGAAAAAGGACTGGGTACTGGGGCTTCCCTGGTGGTTCAGCGGTTAAGACTCTGAGCTTCCACTCCAGGGGATGCAGATTCAATCGCTGGTGGAGGAACTAAGATCCCACATGCCATAATGCCAAAAATCAAAAACAAGACCAAAAAACTACTGGGTACTGAGGCAGAGTAGGTGGGAGCATCTATAAGTTCTCCTCTTCTCTTTCTCAACCCGCATTAGGAAGCCTTGGCAGAGGGGCCTGAAGACTTCTGCTGAAGGCCCCAGATGAAGAGGCTTGGGAATAAAGGCACCTGGGCCAGAAACACAGTTCTATCAAGAGCATGACAGGCCAGAGGGGCCAGAGTCCTTGACCACAACCCCTCTGAGACTGCAGTGCCCTGGCTGTGCACCAAGTCTGGTGTGGAGAGAGCAGTTTTCTCCATGAGGTCTACCAGGGGAAGCTTTTGTGATTGCCCAAGGTTGGGCCTGAAAAATCACACATAGGTTTCTAACCACAGGCCCAACTCCTCATGCAGCCGTTTGCTGGATTGGCAACTTCTGAATTCTTCCTAACTCTAAGGAATGTATGCAACTTTTAACTTTGTTGTTTTGTTTTTCTGAAAATAATTAAAAGATCAAAGGCTGTGGTCCAGGTGTAGGGTACATTTTGACAGGGTCTGGCTCTATGTTTTCTTAACCAGCTTGAGCAGTTTGGGTCATAGTAGCCCCCTGTGGGCTTCCCAGGTTGTGCGTGGTAAAGAATCTACCTGCCAATGCAGGAGATGTGAGAGATGTGGGTTCAATCCCTGGGTTGGGAAGATCCCCTGGAAGAGGTAATGGCAACCAGCTCCAGTATTCTTGCCTGTGAAATCCCATGGACAGAAAGGAACCTGGCGGGCTGCAGTACACGGGGTCGCAAAGAGTCGGACACAACTGAGCACAAACACACACAAGTCCCTGTCATAGAAGAATCATGTAGGGATATTTCATCTCTAATGCATTTTAAATATACTGTACTGTTTTAACATTATGGGACTATGATACTCTTAAGTACTTTATTCTTACAGAAAAGGATAAGTTTTTCTTACTGAAAAATTATACGATCTACATTTTTTTTTTAACTTACAGAAAGTTTGAAAATCTCTACATAGGCTGGGGTCATAAATATAGTCCAGACAGCTATACACCTCCAGTTCCACCACCAGTTTATCAAGAGTACCCCAGTGGACCAGAAATTACAGAAATGGATGACCCTACTGTGGAAGAGGAGCAGGCTTTCAGGGCTGCACAAGAAGCAGCAGCAGATTCAACAGAGGAGAATGAAGAAACTGAGGAAGAGGAAGATGAGGAAGATGATTATGACTAATACAAGTAGAATTAGCCCCGTCTTATGAGACTGATACACTCATACTCCTTATTTGGGACTGATTTATATATATAAATTACAACTATTCGTGTGTAAAATATCATTCCCTGAAAATAAAAATTTGGAATTTCACATTTGGAACTATTAATATGTACTTTTAGAAAGAGGCTCGACAGATTTTTCAGAGGCTAAATGACATTTTCTTAATTACTGTTCTGATGGCTTCAGCTAACCGAATTATGTACTTCTGTATTTTTTAAGCCTCAGGTTGAATTTCTAATGGGCAAACATGGTAATATATACCCCACAAAAGCTACTTGGGGGGCTTTGAGTGTCAAGGAATACTGAGACCAAAAATATTGATAACCAAATTAGAGCATGTATTCTTCAGCAATTTGTGATATTGTTGCAAATACTGTATGTATATACATCTATCTGTATATACATATATATTCCCCCCAAGCCTCTATGTGGAGAGGGTATACAATTCCATTACCTGCTCCAAGACTGTAGGAACATTCAAATTTTTTAGCTTTTACCTGTTACTTCTTAAAGAAATTTCTCAATTTAACTCTTCTTTCATCCTATAGAAATTGGTTTTATCTGATTTGGGGGAAAATTATTTGCATAGATGGCTAGCTGGGACATCCAAAGGCTTCAGACTGATATTTTGTTATCACTGCTTTTCTAAAACTAGTTATTTTTATTCACTAAAAAAAGTATTTTTAAGTCCTATATCCCTGGCACTCCAAGGCTACTGTTAAAAACTAGACATTGCTTCAGAAACCTTAGGAGCTTACATTCAAGGAGGGAAATATTTTGTGATACAAATATTATGCCATAGTACAGTGTTTGTCAAGCCCTATGGTGAAGGACCAATTAAAAAATAAAAACAAAAAACCTTTCTACTCCATGGTTGTTATCTGTGTAAAATAAAAGTATCAGTAATTGTAGTTTCTGTAATTTTGTCACAGACTGGCAATTTGCAGATCAGTGATCTTACCTTCGAGCAACATTGCTTATCAAACCCTTACAAGGTGTATTTAATCCAAACTTGAGCAGTTCAGGAAGCCCTTCTAAGAGGAGAACTAAGGGGGAAAGGGTCCTAGGCAGCGCCAGCTGTATTTTGGCAAAGGACTCTAGGCTGAAAGGAGTGAAACTTTGAGCATGGTAAGAGATGAAACTGAAGAGGTAAGTAGAGCCCAGATTGTGTAGGACGTTTGGATTTTAACCATGAGCAATGAGCGGGACTCAACTAGGCAGTCACAAAATCGTATTTGTATTTTAGAACAATTTGGCTTCTGTGTGGAAGATGGACTGACAGAGGATCAAGACAAACAGACCAGTTAGGATATTACACTGTCTAGGTAAGAGATAAAGATGGCATGAAGCACCATAACTGCATGGGGATATAGAGTGGAAACCTGTTTACCAGTCTGAATGACAGTATTAGAAAGGAGGTTTTCTATAATTTTCCAACTGGCAACACTTATTCATGCCAGGAGTGCAACACTTAGTATTTAATACAATAGATAATATTCATAGAACTTCATTCAAGTAAGTTCTTGTTCACTTTTTAATGGGGTAGCAGCCCCTTACTGCTTCTCCTTTTTAATATCTCTTTTTTCATCTACCCAGATTTCTTTTTGAGAAAGTGCCTCTGACCCATGGCAGACGGTCACATGCTAATTAGATGTGCCTTCTCTGGAATCTGAAATCCAAGCACACATTCTACCTCGACTCCTAACCTGATTGCCCCTGCTATAATATTAGGTCATATTCTAGCCTCAACTGTAGCCTTTGTTCTAGAATAGTTCCCTAGTTACCCGCAGATTCCAAGAACTTTTGATAATTTCAACGAATTCTCTTCCACTTAAAACTGGCCAGAATAAGATTCTTGCTTCAACCTTAACTAGCAAATCTAACATGAAACTGAAAGATTCCTTCTTACAGGACACAGTAAACATAAGACTCTCACAGTTATATAAGAGTGTAAATATTTAACAAAAGCAAATTACTCTTTTCAGAACTATGCCTATGAAGTATTAAGGTTCTTTCTATCTAGTGAGGAGGGAATTTCATTACATATATATTATTAACAGAATAAAGCAGAATGCTCTAATGGTAAGAGCTTGGAGGTGAGACAGTCTGGATTCACATCTTGGATTAGGGCCACTTTCTTGGGCAAATTACCAATCTCGCAAGTTTCAGCTTCCTCACGGGGCTAATAACAGTATTTGTCTCACAGAACTATAAAATATTTTGGAAATCAAACTAATTAATACATGCAAAATACTGAGAATACCTAACACGAGTTAGAACTCAACAAATAGTCATATGACTATAACACAAAACTAGTTTCTGAAACATGAATAAATCAAGAAATACAAAACTCACAATGCAAGCAAGGTATTTTATTGGAATAATTACTAAACAATGAAGCACTAAAGGTACAATTTAGGCATTTTAAAAATTAAAATATAAATGGAGTATTTAGAAATCCATGTTGCATTAAGAAATTCATATGTTGCATTAAGGTTAATACCAGAATTTGGAAAACAAAGTAAAATCCCACAACCACTGAAATGCTGACTTCTTCAAGGGATCTTCTCAGCTGTAAAGACTTGAGAAGCTTGTCTCCTAGCCTTGAAAAGAAATTTTAAAAATGTTAAGTGAGAAGTCAATCAATTAAAATATGCATTATCATCTAATATCAAGAAAACTGAAATCTGGGATTTTTTTTTTTTCTAGATAATGAAAATCCTGTAAGGAATAGTACAACTTCAAATTCAGGAAATCATTTTAAAAGTCAAGCCATAAAAAGTTAAATAAAATTTGAGATAAAGGCAAAACACAAAAAATTTTTTAAAAATATCACCTTTTTATAGAATAATGAATCAAAAGTAAAAATCTGGCTGAAACTCAGAGAGAGACAAGTAAAAACAGGGAAGGAGAGATAAAGATGAGACTATGAGCAGAGAAATACCACCAACGCCTCACTTTCAAGACCAGAAGGACAACAGCCAAATAAAATACTCAGCTAAACTCCATCTTCGTATGTAATCTCATCTATGATCTCAAATGTTATCTGTATATTGGTAAACAAGCATCTTGCTTTTTCTAACAGTTAAAATTAACCTCTAACTTTATTCAGCCAAATAAATGATAGGGTTAGAAAAAAGGAATGCAATTTTTGTATTTAAGTCATCGCAAAGAAACCTCTTTACACAAACATTTGCAAAGAAACTTATAATTAAATTGAAGAACTTCTTCAACAATCCTTGCCTTTATATCCCAAGCTGTGAAGCTACAAAGATTACTCTCTCTAAATGAAAGAGATCTCATTTCAAACAACTTTAGTCCTTTCCCTCATGATCCTATTATTCTTCATAAATGCTCCTCTCTACTGCGGTGTCTCTTCTCCCTTTGAAAGTGAAAGTGAGGGAGGGAGGAGCCAAGATGGGGGAGGGATAGGACGGGGAGACCACTTTCTCCCCTACAAATTCATCGAAAGAACATTTGAACGCTGAGCAAATTTCACAAAACAACTTCTGATTGCTAGCAGAGGACATCAGGTGCCCAGAAAAGCAGCCCGTTGTCTTCGAAGGTAGGTAGGACACAATATAAAAGATAAAAAGGGAGTCAAAAGAGCTACGGACGGAGACCCGTCCCAGGAAGGGAGTCTTAATAGAGGAAGTTTCCAATCACCAGGAAACCCTCGCACTGGCGGGACGGGGGGAAGTTTTCCGCAATCTAACTGGGAGGAAAAATTTAACAAGGCCCACAGATTACGTCCTAAAAGCAACTCCCAGCAGAAAAGTACCCCAGACGCCCGCACCAGCCAGCAACAAGCGGGGGCGGGACGGAGAGGAGCGGGCGGCATTGCTTAGGGTAAGGACCGGCCCGAAGACCCTGAGAGCAATCGGAGGGAGCTTTTTTAAACTGTGGGATAGCAAGGGTCAAAATTAACCGGCCCGAACACACTGCCGGCGGTTCGCAAAACAAAGGGACTGAGAAACTCCAGAGAAGAGCCGGCCCATCCCCGCTGGAGGTAGGAGGCAGGGGGGAGGGGAAAAGGGCAAACTCAGCCCCTGAGAAGCCGCCCCCTCCCACACTGCAAACAGGCCCCCGGTTCCTATCTAAACACTTCCTGAGACCCGACTGGCGGCGCGCGCTGGGGCCGCGGAGGGAAAAAGCGCGCCATACCCGGGGAGATTGCGCCCAAGCCTCTGGCTACCTGAACCGCTCGCCGCGGAGGGAAAAGGCGCACCGCATCCGGGGAGAGTGCGCCCAAGCCTCTGGCTGCCTGGGCCGCTCGACGCGGAAGGAAAAGGCGCGCTGCACCCGGGGAGAGTACGCCCAAGCCCCTGGCTGCCTGAACCACTCAGGCCGGGGAAGGCACAAAACGCAGGCGCAACCGAATCCGCGCTTTTGTGGAGTACCCGAAAACTGGAACCGCACTCAATGCAGGGCCCGCTCCATATAGAGCCGCCGGGAGCCTGAGCAGTGTAGACGGGGAAAGCACTGACACCCGTGAGCGGGGCAACTCCAGTGTGACCAGAACACGGTGAGTGCTGTCCACACAGAGCTGTATCTGTCTGCAGCGCCCCGCCCTCCCCGTAGCAGGACTGAACTGAACTAGAGAACCTAAATAAGAGATCACCTCCGCCTGCCCGCCTGTGTCAGGGTGGAAATTAGACACCGAAGAGACGGCAAACAAGCCAAATAAACAAAGGGAACCGCTTCAGAAAGGACCGGTGCAACAGATAAAATCCCTGAAGGTAACACCGACTACACTGGAAGGGGCCTACAGATATCGAGAAGTGTAAGCTGGAAAGAGGAGCTATCTGAAATGGAACTGAACCTACGCTGAACACAACAACTCCAGAGAAATTCCTAGATATATATGTATATATATTTTTTTAATTAAAAAAAAATTTTTTTTCTTTCCTTTTTTTTTTATTTTTTATTTTTTCTCTTTTATTTTCTTTTAAAATTCCCTATTACTTCCCCCATTACTCCTCAACTTTCATTTTCATATATTTTTACGATTTTTTTAATTAGGGGAAAAAAATTTTTTTCTTTTTTTTTCTTTTTCTTGTTTTTCTCTCCTATTTCCTTTTAAAGTCCTCTAATACTTCTCTATTATTCCTTAATTTTCATTTTCATTTCACTATAACCTTGCCAAAAAAAAAAAAAAAGAGAGAAAAACCCTATTTTTAAACCGAACTTCATATACATTTCTAAATTTTTTTGTGTGTTTTTGTTTTTAAATATTGTATTTCAAAGAGTCTAACCTCTACACTAGATTTTTAATCTTTGTTTTTCAGTAGTATGTGATATAAATTTTGGACATTTAAGAATCCAATATTCAGTTCCCATTTCTATTCAGGAGTGTGGTGATTACTCTCCCACTTTTGACTCTCTGTTTTCTACCTCAGAGCACCTCTATTTCCTCCTTTCCCCTTCTCTTCCCAATCCAACTCTGTGAATCTTTGTGGGTGTCTGGGTTACGGAGAACACTTTGGGAACAGATAACTGGGTAGATCTGTCTCTCTCCTCTTGAGTCCCCCTTTTCTCCTCCTGCTCACCTCTATCTCCTTCCTCCCTCTCCTATTCTTCATGTAACTCTGTGAACCTCTCTGGTTGTCTCTCATGGTGGAGAATCTTTTCACCATTAACCTAGAAGTTTTATTATCAGTGCTGTATAGTTGGAGAAGTCTTGAGACTATTGGAAGAATAAAACTGAAATCCAGAGGCAGGAGACTTAAGCCCAAATCCTGAGAAAACCAGAAAACTCCTGACTACATGGAACATTAGGAATAAGAGACCATCCAAAAGCTTCCATACCTACACCAAAACCAACCACCACCCAAGAGCCAATAAGCTCCAGTACAAGACATACCACGCAAATTCTTTAGCAACACAGGAACATAGACCTGAGTGTCAACATACAGGCTGTCCAAAGTCACACCTAACACATAGACCCATTGCAAAATTCATTACTGGACACTCCATTGCACTCCAGAGAGAAGAAATCCAATTCCACACACCAGAACGCTGACACAAGCTTCCCTAACCAGGAAACCTTGACAAACCAATCGTCCAACCCCACCCACTGGGTGAAACCTCCACAATAAAAAGGAACCTCAGACCACAAGGCTACAGAAAGCCCACTCCAGACACAGCAATCCAAACAAGATGAAAAGGCAGAGAAATACCCAACAGCTAAAGGAACATGAAAAAAGCCCACCAAGTCAAACAAAAGAGGAGGAAACAGGGAATCTACCTGAAAAAGAATTTAGAATAATGATAATAAAAATGATCCAAAATCTTGAAAACAAAATGGAGTTACAAATAAATAGCCTGGAGACAAAGATTGAGAAGATGAAAGAAATGTTTAACAAGGACCTAGAAGAAATAAAAAAAAGTCAATTAAAAATTAATAATGAAATAAATGAGATCAAAAACACTCTGGAGGGAACCATGAGTAGAATAACAGAGACAGAAGATAGGATAAGTGAGTTAGAAGATAAAATGGTGGAAATAAATGAAGCAGAGAGGAAAAAAGAAAAAAGAATCAAAAGAAATGAGGACAACCTCAGGGACCTCTGGGACAATGTGAAACGCCCCAACATTTGAATCATAGGAGTCCCAGAAGAAGAAGACAAAAAGAAAGGCCATGAGAAGATACTCGAGGAGATAATAGCTGAAAACTTCCCTAAAATGGGGAAGGAAATAGCCACCCAAAGTCCAAGAAACCCAGAGAGTCCCAAACAGGATAAACCCAAGGCAAAACACCCCAAGACACATATTAATCCAATTAACAAAGATCAAACACAAAGAACAAATATTAAAAGCAGCAAGGGAGAAACAACAAATAACACACAAAGGGATTCCCATAAGGATAACAGCTGATCTATCAATAGAAACCCTTCAGGCCAGAAGGGAATGGCAGGACATACTTAAAGTAATGAAAGAGAATAACCTACAACCTAGATTACTGTACCCAGCAAGGATCTCATTCAGATATGAAGGAGAATTCAAAAGCTTTACAGACAAGCAAAAGCTGAGAGAATTCAGCACCACCAAAACAGCTTTTCAACAAATACTAAAGGATCTTCTCTAGACAGGAAACACAGAAAGGTTGTATAAACGTGAACCCCAAACAACAAAATAAATGGCAACGGGACCATACCTATCAATAATTACCTTATATGTAAATGGGTTGAATGCCCCAACCAAAAGACAAAGGCTGGCTGAATAGATACAAAAGCAAGACCCCTATATATGCTGTCTACAAGAGACCCACCTCAAAGCAAGGGACACATACAGACTAAAAGTGAAGGGCTGGAAAAAAATATTCCACGCAAACAGAGACAAAAAGAAAGCAGGAGTCGCAATACTCATATCAGATAAAATAAACTTTCAAATAAAGGCTGTGAAAAGAGACAGACATGGACACTACATAATGATCAAAGGATCAATCCAAGAAGAAGATATAACAATTATAAATATATATGCACCCAACATAGGAGCACTGCAATATGTAAGGCAAACGCTAATGAGTATGAAAGAGGAAATTAATAGTAACACAATAATAGTGGGAGACTTTAATACCCCACTCACAACTGTGGATAGATCAACTAAACAGAAAATGAACAAGGAAACACAAACTTTAAAGGACACAATGGACCAGCTAGACCTAAGTGACATCTATAGGACGTTTCACCCCAAAACAATCAATTTCACCTTTTTCTCAAGTGCACACGGAACCTTCTCCAGAATAGATCACATCCTGGGCCATAAATCTAGTCTTGGTAAATTCAAAAAGATTGAAATCATTCCAGTCATCTTTTCTGACAACAGTGCAGTAAGATTAGATCTCAATTACAGGAAATAAGTTATTAAAAATTCAAACATATGGAGGCTAAACAACACGCTTCTGAAGAACCAACAAATCATAGAAGAAATAAAAAAAGAAATCAAAATATGCATAGAAATGAATGAAAATGAAAACACAACAACCCAAAACCTATGGGACACTGAAAAAGCAGTGCTAAGGGGAAAATTCACAGCATTACAGGCCTACCTCAAGAAACAAGAAAAAAGTCAAATAAATAACCTAACTCTACACCTAAAGCAACTAGAGAAGGAAGAAATGAAGAACCCCAGGGTTAGTAGAAGGAAAGAAATCTTAAAAATTAGGGCAGAAATAAATGCAAAAGAAACTAAAGAGATCATAGCAAAAATTAACAAAGCTAAAAGCTGGTTTTTTGAAAAAATAGACAAAATTGACAAACCATTAGCAAGACTCATTAAGAAACACAGGGAGAAGAACCACATTAACAAAATTAGAAACGAAAATGGAGAGATCACAACAGACAACACTGAAATACAAAGGATCATAAGAGACTACTACCAGCAGCTCTATGCCAATAAAATGGACAACTTGGAAGAAATGGACAAGTTCTTAGAGAAGTATAACTTTCCAAAACTGAACCAGGAAGAAACAGAAGATCTTAACAAACCCATCACAAGCAAGGAAATCGAAACTGAAATCAGAAATCTTCCAGCAAACAAAAGCCCAGGACCAGATGGCTTCACAGCTGAATTCTACCAAAAATTTAGAGAAGAGCTAACACCTATCTTACTCAAACTCTTCCAGAAAATTGCAGAAGAAGGTAAACTTCCAAACTCATTCTATGAGGCCACCATCACCCTAATTCCAAAACCAGACAAAGATGCCACAAAAAAAGAAAACTACAGGCCAATATCACTGATGAACATAGATGCAAAAATCCTTAACAAAATTCTAGCAAACAGAATCCAACAACATATTAAAAAAATCATACACCATGACCAAGTGGGCTTTATCCCAGGAATGCAAGCATTCTTTAATATCCGCAAATCAAACAATGTAATACACCAAATTAACAAATTGAAAGATAAAAGGCATATGATTATCTCAATAGATGCAGAAAAAGCCTTTGACAAAATTCAACATCCATTTATGATTAAAATTCTCCAGAAAGCAGGAATGGAAGGAACATACCTCAGCATAATAAAAGCTATATATGACAAACCCACAGCAAGCATCACCCTCAATGGTGAAAAATTGAAAGCATTTCCCCTGAAATCAGGAACAAGACAAGGGTGCCCACTCTCACCACTACTATTCAACATAGTTTTGGAAGTTTTGGCCACAGCAATCAGGGCAGAAAAAGAAGTAAAAGAAATCCAGATAGGAAAAGAAGATGTGAAACTCTCTCTGTTTGCAGATGACATGATCCTCTACATACAAAACCTTAAAGACTCTACCAGAAAATTACTAGAGCTAATCAACGAATACAGTAAAGTTGCAGGATACAAAATTAACACACAGAAATCTCTTGCATTCCTATACACTAACAATGAGAAAATAGAAAGAGAAATTAAGGAAACAATACCATTCACCATTGCAACAAAAAGAATAAAATACTTAGGAGTATATCTACCTAAAGAAACAAAAGACCTATACATAGAAAACTATAAATCACTGATGAAAGAAATCAAAGAGGACACAAACAGATGGAGAAATATACCGTGTTCATGGGTTGGAAGAATCAATATTGTCAAAATGGCTATAATACCCAAAGCAATCTATAGATTCAATGCAATCCCTATCAAACTACCAACGGTATTTTTCACAGAACTAGAACAAATAATTTCACAATTTGTATGGAAATACAAAAAACCTCGAATAGCCAAAGTAATCCTGAGAAAGAAGAATGGAACTGGAGGAATCAACCTGCCTGACTTCAGACTATACTACAAAGCCACAGTCATCAAGACAGTATGGTACTGGCACAAAGACAGAAATATAGATCAATGGAACAGAATAGAAAGCCCAGAGATAAATCCACGAACCTATGGTCACCTTATCTTCGACAAAGGAGGCAAGGATATACAATGGAAAAAAGACAACCTCTGTAACAAGTGGTGCTGGGAAACCTGGTCAACCACCTGTAAAAGAATGAAACTAGAAAACTTTCTAACACCATACACAAAAATAAACTCAAAATGGATTAAAGATCTAAATGTAAGACCAGAAACTATAAAACTCCTAGAGGAGAACAAAGGCAAAACACTCTCCGACATAAATCACAGCAGGATTCTCTATGACCCACATCCCAGAATATTAGAAACAAAAGCAAAAATAAACAAATGGGACCTAATGAAACTTAAAAGCTTTTGCACAACAAAGGAAACTATAAGCAAGGTGAAAAGATAGCCCTCAGATTGGGAGAAAATAATAGCAAATGAAGCAACAGACGAAGGATTAATCTCAAAAATATATAAGCAACTCCTCCAGCTCAACTCCAGAAAAATAAATGACCCAATCAAAAAATGGGCCAAAGAACTGAACAGACATTTCTCCAAGGAAGACATACAGATGGCTAACAAACACATGAAAAGATGCTCAACATCACTCATTATCAGAGAAATGCAAATCAAAACCACAATGAGGTACCATTATACGCCAGTCAGGATGGCTGCTATCCAAAAGTCTACAGGCAATAAATGCTGGAGAGGGTGTGGAGAAAAGGGAACCCTCTTACACTGTTGGTGGGAATGCAAATTAGTACAGCCACTATGGAAAACAGTGTGGAGATTTCTTAAAAAGCTGGAAATAGAACTGCCATATGACCCAGCAATCCCACTTCTGGGCATACACACCGAGGAAACCAGATCTGAAAGAGACACGTGTACCCCAATGTTCATCGCAGCACTATTTATAATAGCCAGGACATGGAAGCAACCTAGATGCCCATCAGCAGACGAATGGATGAGGAAGCTGTGGTACATATACACCATGGAATATTACTCAGCCATTAAAAAGAATTCATTTGAATCAGTTCTAATGAGATGGATGAAACTGGAGCCCATTATACAGAGCGAAGTAAGCCAGAAAGATAAAGACCATTACAGTATACTAACACATATATATGGAATTTAGAAAGATGGTAACGATAACCCTATATGCAAAACAGAAAAGGAGACTCAGATGTATAGAACAGACTTGTGGACTCTGGGAGAAGGCGAGGGTGGGATGTTTCAAGAGAACAGCATCAAAACATGTATGTTTTCTAGGGTGAAACAGATCACCAGTCCAGGTTGAGTGCATGAGACAAGTGCTCAGGCCTGGTGCACTGGGAAGACCCAGAGGGATCGGGTGGAGAGGGAGGTGGGAGGGGGGACCGGGATGGGGAATACATGTAAATCCATGGCTAATTCATTTCACTGTATGACAAAAACCACTGCAATGATGTAAAGTAATTAGCCTCCAACTAATAAAAATGAATGGAAAAAATAAATAAATAAAATTTATTGCTGTTGAAAAAAGAAAAAGAAGAAAGAAAGTGAAAGTTGTTCAGTCGTGTCCAAGTCTTTGTGACCCCACAGACTATACAGTCCATGGAATTCTCCAGGCCTGAATACTGGAGTGGGTAAGTATACCCTTCTCCAGGGGATCTTCCCAACCCAGGGGTTGAACCCAGGTCTCCCACATTGCAGGATTCTTTACCAGCTGAGCCACAAGGGAAGCCCTTCTCTCTTTAGAGGGAAACAAATGTGGAGTACTCTAATAGGGACTTTTCCTCTTCAAGATTAGAGAACTGTGCATTTTCTAGATTTGATATGCTACCATATAGCTTCTGTTTATACAAATGGAGGGGTTCCACTTCCTAGGAATTCTTCTATAATGTACTGCTCATCACTTAAATGCAAGGGATAACGAGGCAACACTACTGGAGTTAATTTCTGGAATTGTATATATCCAGTAAGTATTATGTGTATAAACAGTTCTTGAATCTGAAAGAAAAACATGTCCCTCAGAGAACTTAACTCTCTCAATAGTGTGATAATTACATCTCCAATAGTACATCCAATATATTCAAGTGCCTAAGATAGCGCCTCAGGAATCTCTAGAATCACATTTAATCAACTAAGACCAATATGAGCTGGAACTCCTTGGATTAAGTTAGACTTTCTTATCATACTGTTGCCATTTTCATTACTCCCCTGATAATCAAAATTAAATTATGTATTATAAAATTAAATATTTTTATGAAGTTCTGAGCAAAGTATTTGACAATATTTGGGTATCATCTGAAATTTAAAGATGTCCATTCTGGAATTAAATGATGTAGTGAACAACAACATATCTTTGCCAATTTAATGTTATAGAATGAGGTGTTAGGAGTTACAAAGGAATAACATTGATTTTTAACTTAAAAATTTTATACTCTGAAGTTCAACCTGTCCAAGCATCACATGGAAAATATTTAGATACTTACAATTTTCTCCTCTGAAGAAAGTACACCTTCTACTGCCACTATCTGGTATTGCTTATGTTTTAAATTCCCCACAAACTTCCGTAGTTGCTTGAGACTGCTAACTTCCATGTCTTGCTTTAGGAGTTTCTGCATTTCTCGAGAAGGACATCCAGGATCAAATACTAGTAAACATAATGTTCGGTTTTTTCTCTCTTCAATTCCAACAACTGTTCGACTATGACCTATAGAAAAATCAAAACAGAGTACATATATGTGAGAGAGATACCTATTTGAGCAGCTACATATAGGTGTAAGTTACTACACACACACACACATATATAGACACCCTATACATACTTTTTATGTGTGTTTTGAATATAAATACAGTCAGCCCCTCTGATATATTGGTTATCTGAGTTCTTTCAGATCTCAGACACAAAACTTTAGTTCTACTTCCTAACCTCCAGTTTTCTTTTGTTCAATTTTAGTTTTCCAAAGGCTTCATGGCAAAATATTCTACTTCTACTATGCCAAATATTTTAGTTTCCTTTCCTAATCCCATCGTCCTTTTTATTCAAGTGATCTCAGATAAAAGGATTTGAAATTTAACTGCTGGAGAACAAAAACTCATGGTTCCAAAAGGTAAACAAAAGTTAATTTATATATAAGAAAATTTCAATGGGAAGGGCTTAACTTTTACAGCTTATATCCTAAACAATGAAATTCCTAACATTTACTTCTCCTTCTTCCTGTCAATCCAAATCATCCACTTGACATATTTCATGAAATAACCATACATCAGGCACTGTTCCAGGCAGTTAGTGACACAAAAGCAAACAAAACAAACATGTCTGCTTTCATGGAGTTTACATTCTAATAGGAAGAAATACTCCATAAACAAGGTAAATGAGTAAAGTCTATATATGTTAGCTAAAGCAAAATAATGCAGGGAAGAGGGTAAGGAAAAGCCAGTGCTAGAGAGGGATAGAAAAATGACCTAAAAAATTTTAAAGGGTGGTCAGGGAAGGCCTCATTGAAGTGAGAAAAGTCCTGAAAAAAATTAACGATGAACAATAAAGGAAGAGGTAGCCCTGAATCAGGTACCTCCAAAGATATCAAGGATATCATCCATTACTGCAATATATTATGATGACGATATAGCTCTAAAAATCAGAGTAACATCAGTACACTTCTCTCCTCTCATTATGAGAATCTTAACAGACCCTAAACCAAAAGCTAATTAGTTGTCTTATATAAATAAATCATCTTATAAGTTACATTCAGTATCTATAAATTATACTAACCTTGATGCTGAAGATAAATAGGAGGTTTAGATGTACACACTACTTTTGGACTTCCTTCTCTCTCTGAAGCATAGTAGCTCAATATCCATTCAAATAAGCGAGGGTGTGTACCCAAAGGACCAGTTGACTTGTGAAAGTCAACAATACGGCATCTATAAAAAAATTGACAAAATGGATTATTTAGAAAATATTTTTAAAACTTTTTTATCAATGGAGTTATAAAATACAAACATTTTTAATTAATTTGATTTCATCATTATTTTCCTAAGAAAAAATAAAATTTTATTATTTATCTGAAAACTGTTATTTTAGGATGAATTTCTTTAAATAACTTAAGGTTGATGACAGCTATCAAAGTTACAAAAATTTTCTCACACAGAAAATCCCCGTTCGTAGTAAATGAGAATCATACCTGATTTTAAAGAGTCTACATATAACCTGAGACATGGGGACTTTTATTCTAAAGGCTCTAAACCTGATGATTAATTAGAAGTTGATTTTTGATTCCTCGGCAGCCATAAGGAGCTATCAAAAATATCCTAAATATTTTTCCTGTCAGTTCTCTCAAATTTCAATAATAGGCAAGAAAAGAATACCTGTAAAGGTCACAGAAAACCTGTGTGTACCCCCATCTATAAATCTATCTATCTACTATTTGGCAACAGACCATGCTGGTATAGTCTCCTCAAGAGGAAGTCAACCATGAATAAATAAAATTATTTTAACCAGGAGCATTATTTACACTTCTCAACAACTATTTTAAAAAGACTGAGTATAAAGGAAAGGAAAAACAATTAAAAGCTTTATTTTCACTTTAAAGTACAGCACAGATATCCTATTCTTGTCTTGCTTGGCCATAAAGTTTCCAAATATACCCACATTGTACTAGTTACTATCTTCAGCGTCAGCAAGTTTAATGTTGATAATTTTCAGCTGATTACTCCTGAGGTTTAAATACTGAAATGAACTTCTGGAAAAGCTATCAAAAAGTAAGAACAGTGATCTTGGGTTAGTAGTTGACTACAGGTTTAGATTTAGAATTAGAATAGTATTCTATGGATAAATTCATAGAGAGCAAAAGGAAGACATTTAAATAACTAGTAAACAAATTGAGGGTATAGTAATAAAAAGGCTTTACAAAGAACTAACTTATTTCACGTACCAAGAAAACAGCTTGATATATCAGGTACTTTAAACAAAAATTTTCCTTTCCTTAAAAATTACTTAAAAGCTCAAAACATGATATAGTATAAATAATCTGAAAGTGTGAACAGGCTGTCAAAAAGGAAAAGAAGAAAAATTTAAAGGGCATTAAAACAGTCCTTTGCACTACATAATGATCAAAGGATCAATCCAAGAAGAAGATATAACAATTATAAATATATATGCACCCAACATAGGAGCACCGCAATATGTAAGGCAAACGCTAACGAGTATGAAAGAGGAAATTAATAGTAACACAATAATAGTGGGAGACTTTAATACCCCACTCACAACTATGGATAGGTCAACTAAACAGAAAATGAACAAGGAAACACAAACTTTAAAGGACACAATGGACCAGCTAGACCTAAGTGACATCTATAGGACGTTTCACCCCAAAACAATCAACTTCACCTTTTTCTCAAGTGCACACGGAACCTTCTCCAGAATAGATCACATCCTGGGCCATAAATCTAGTCTTGGTAAATTCAAAAAAATTGAAATCATTCCAGTCAACTTTTGTGACCACAGTGCAGTAAGATTAGATCTCAATTATGGGGAAAAAATTATTAAAAATTCAAACATATGGAGGTTAAACAACATGCTTCTGAATAACCAACAAATCATAGAAGAAATAAAAAAAGAAATCAAAATATGCATAGAAATGAATAAAAATGAAAACACAACAACCCAAAACCTATAGGACACTGAAAAAGCAGCGCTAAGGGGAAGATTCATAGCATTACAGGCCTACCTCAAGAAACAAGAAAAAAGTCAAATAAATAACCTAACTCTACACCTAAAGCAACTAGAAAAGGAAGAAATGAAGAACCCCAGGGTTAGCAAAAGGAAAGAAATCTTAAAAATTAGGGCAGAAATAAATGCAAAAGAAACTAAAGAGACCATAGCAAAAATCAACAAAGCTAAAAGTTGGTTTTTTGAAAAAATAAACAAAATTGACAAACCATTAGCAAGACTCATTAAGAAACACAGGGAGAAGAACCACATTAAGAAAATTAGAAACGAAAATGGAGAGATCACAACAGACAACACTGAAATACAAAGGATCATAAGAGACTACTACCAGCAGCTCTATGCCAATAAAATGGACAACTTGGAAGAAATGGACAAGTTCTTAGAGAAGTATAACTTTCCAAAACTGAACCAGGAAGAAACAGAAGATCTTAACAAACCCATCACAAGCAAGGAAATCGAAACTGAAATCAGAAATCTTCCAGCAAACAAAAGCCCAGGACCAGATGGTTTCACAGCTGAATTCTACCAAAAAGTTAGAGAAGAGCTAACACCTATCTTACTCAAACTCTTCCAGAAAATTGCAGAAGAAGGTAAACTTCCAAACTCATTCTATGAGGCCACCATCACCCTAATTCCAAAACCAGACAAAGATGCCACAAAAAAAGAAAACTACAGGCCAATATCACTGATGAACATAGATGCAAAAATCCTTAACAAAATTCTAGCAAACAGAATCCAACAACATATTAAAAAAAATCATACACCATGACCAAGTGGGCTTTATCCCAGGAATGCAAGGATTCTTTAATATCCACAAATCAATCAATGTAATACACCGCATTAACAAATTGAAAGATAAAAACCATATGATTATCTCAATAGATGCAGAAAAAGCCTTTGACAAAATTCAACATCCATTTATGATTAAAACTCTCCAGAAAGCAGGAATAGAAGGAACATACCTCAGCATAATAAAAGCTATATATGACAAACCCACAGCAAGCATCACCCTCAATGGTGAAAAATTGAAAGCATTTCCCCTGAAATAAGGAACAAGACAAGGGTGCCCACTCTCACCACTACTATTCAACATAGTTTTGGAAGTGTTGGCCACAGCAATCAGGGCAGAAAAAGAAGTAAAAGGAATCCAGATAGGAAAAGAAGAAGTGAAACTCTCTCTGTTTGCAGATGACATGATCCTCTACATACAAAACCCTAAAGACTCTACCAGAAAATTACTAGAGCTAATCAACGAATATAGTAAAGTTGCAGGATATAAAATTAACACACAGAAATCTCTTGCATTCCTATACACTAACAATGAGAAAATAGAAAGAGAAATTAAGGAAACAATACCATTCACCATTGCAACAAAAAGAATAAAATACTTAGGAGTATATCTACCTAAAGAAACAAAAGACCTACACATAGAAAACTATAAATCACTGATGAAAGAAATCAAAGAGGACACAAACAGATGGAGAAACATACCGTGTTCATGGATTGGAAGAATCAATATTGTCAAAATGGCTATACTACCCAAAGCAACCTATAGATTCAATGCAATCCCTATCAAGCTACCAACAGTATTTTTCACAGAACTAGAACAAATAATTTCACAGTTTGTATGGAAATACAAAAAAACTCGAATAGCCAAAGTAATCTTGAGAAAGAAGAATGGAACTGGAGGACTCAACCTGCCTGACTTCAGACTCTACTACAAAGCCACAGTCATCAAGACAGTATGGTACTGGCACAAAGACAGAAATACAGATCAATGGAACAGAATAGAAAGCCCAGAGATAAATCCATGAACCTATGGTCACCTTATCTTCGACAGAGGAGGCAAGGATATACAATGGAAAAAAGACAACCTCTTTAACAAGTGGTGCTGGGAAAACTGGTCAACCACTTGTAAAAGAATGAAACTAGAACACTTTCTAACACCATACACAAAAATAAACTCAAAATGGATTAAAGATCTAAACGTAAGACTAGAAACTATAAAACTCCTAGAGGAGAACATAGGCAAAACACTCTCCAACATAAATCACAGCAGGATCCTCTATGACCCACATCCCAGAATATTAGAAACAAAAGCAAAAATAAACAAATGGGACCTAATGAAACTTAAAAGCTTTTGCACAACAAAGGAAACTATAAGCAAGGTGAAAAGACAGCCCTCAGATTGGGAGAACATAATAGCAAATGAAGCAACAGACAAAAGATTAATCTCAAAAATATACAAGCAACTCCTCCAGCTCAACTCCAGAAAAATAAATGATCCAATCAAAAAATGGGCCAAAGAACTAAACAGACATTTCTCCAAAGAAGACATACAGATGGCTAAGAAACACATGAAAAGATGCTCAACATCACTCATTATCAGAGAAATGCAAATCAAAACCACAATGAGGTACCATTACACGCCAGTCAGGATGGCTGCTATCCAAAAGTCTACAAGCAATAAATGCTGGAGAGGGTGTGGAGAAAAGGGAACCTTCTTACACTGTTGGTGGGAATGCAAACTAGTACAGCCACTATGGAAAACAGTGTGGAGATTTCTTAAAAAGCTGGAAATAGAACTGCCATGTGACCCAGCAATCCCACTTCTGGGCATACACACCGAGGAAACCAGATCTGAAAGAGACATGTGCACCCCAATGTTCATCGCAGCACTGTTTATAATAGCCAGGACATGGAAGCAACCTAGATGCCCATCAGCAGACGAATGGATAAGGAAGCTGTGGTACATATACACCATGGAATATTACTCAGCCATTAAAAAGAATTCATTTGAATCAGTTCTAATGAGATGGATGAAACTGGAGCCCATTATACAGAGTGAAGTAAGCCAGAAAGATAAAGACCATTACAGTATACTAACACATATATATGGAATTTAGAAAGATGGTAACGATAACCCTATATGCAAAACAGAAAAAGAGACACACATGTATAGAACAGACCTTTGGACTCTGTGGGAGAAGGCGAGGGTGGGATGTTTCAAGAGAACAGCATTGAAACATGTATATTATCTAGGGAGAAACAGATCACCAGCCCAGGTTGGATGCATGAGACAAGTGCTCGGACCTGATGCACTGGGAAGACCCAGAGGGATCGGGTGGAGAGGGAGGTGGGAGGGGGGGATCGGGATGGGGAATACATGTAAATCCATGGCTAATTCATGTCAATGTATGACAAAAAACACTACAATACTGTAAAGTAATTAGCCTCCAACTAATAAAAATAAATGAAACAAAAACAAGAACAAAACAGTCATTTGAATTTAATAATTCAAGAAAGTTATTATACACACATTCATTTTTCTATTTAAAATTTAAGAAGTATTTTTATCTCTGAATATAACTCACATATAGAAATGATGTAAAACACTGGCAAAATGACTTGGAAACAAACATAAAAGGAAATATACAGTCATGAAGCTTAAGGCAAACTTTCTATTAAAGATGATCATAAGCATTTATCTCTGATGCCTCTTGAAAGTCCAACAACATAATACTGAAGGAGAAAATGATTTAAACACCTATGGAGAAAAAGAATAGGGACCGACAAGAAACAGGCACACATTTCTGGAAAATGGATAGCAGGAGAGAGGAAACATAAAAGTGAATACAAAGAAATAGAGACAACTTTCTTAAAACCCAAAAGAGGACAGAAGTTTAATGAACACCAGGTATTGGGTAAGGTAGTACTGAGGCTGAAAACAGAGATTAATTGGAAGGTTGAATAAATAGAGCAAATCAATAATCAACTCCTCACCTCTACTGATGGAGGAACTACAGGCAAGAATGGACTCTGAGAAAAGACCTCTCTCTTATACTAATAGTTGAGAGTCTCCAACCACACAGCAAACTTCCTCCTCAGAAACGAAGTTTTCTCAACTACAAGCTCTATGAAACCCTACAGGACTGCCAATCAGCTTTTTTAGTACTGCGTTCTTCACTTTAGGAAAAACAGTAAGGATTTTTAAAAGTTAGAAGAAAGTCTTCTAAACAGACTAAAATAAATAGACATGAAATTAATTTAACATGGAGGAAACAGAAAAATGCAAGGAATAGAAAAAATTTACAACCATAAAAGGCTGTGATGCTATGAAATTACTCCTTAAAGTTGAAAAACATTATTGTTAAAATAAAAATTTCAATAAAGTAGTGAGGAGATAAAGTTGAGAATCCAGATAGTAAAACAAAAAGCAAAGATCAAAAAGTGAGACGTGACCAGTGAACTCAAAAAGTCAAAAAAGTTCAGAGGCCAACAAACAGGAGTGCCAGAAAGCAAAATAAAGAAAATGGAGAGATCATACTCATCAAACAACAGTGAACCCTTAAGCTCTTACTACATGCCAGTCACAGTCTTAAGCACAATATTATCACTACAACTCTATGTATGAATCAGTCACTATTTACATGTTCTTTTTTCAGTGGTGGAACTAGGCTACGAACATAGAGTCAAGTCATAGAGCTGGTAAGCAGAGAGCTAGAATCAGCTGTAGGCAACTTCACTTCAAAACGCCTAAGCTCTTAACCACTATGTGCCTAGTCATACCCAACTCTTTGCGACCCCATGGACTGTAGCCCACCAGGCTCCTCTGCCCACGGGATTCTCCAGGTACGTCTTGCTTTCTCATTAAGTAATACTGATTGTTAGAAGCCAGTAGAGGAACGATGTATTGATTCATAAATGATTTTGAGTTAAGAATAATACAACAACACAAACTATCACTCAGTAATTAGACTAGACATCCTTTCTTAGGAAGCTAATAAAGGAAGTGTTCAAGTAAAAGAGAATAATCCAAAAATGAGAAAGACATGGAATCCAGGAAAAACTCCCAGATCCAATTCAACAGAATGAAGAAATGCAACACGATTAGAGCTATGGAAAGGATCTAGAAGCAAACAATCCAGACTACAGAAGAGGACAATAGGCTTCAAGAAAAATATCTCCAGGAATAAGGAGTACCTCGGATTACATAAGTGGAGTTATCTGTAAAAACGTGAGCATGATGCAGTCAAACAGTAAAAGGGAAAAGGTAGGCAATTCTTAGGGAAAACTTTAAAAAGCCTTCCAAGAAAGATATAAAATCATCAGTGAATAATATTTACACGGTTGACTCTAACTTAATAAAAACTGAGATTTAACCGTATTATAAAAAGTGAGGAGAAACAGGTGGGAGATATAAGAAGAATGCAACAGACAATGTCTAAAGCTGACAAACCAAGAAAAAGCCATGAAAGCATCTTATTTAAAAACAATGAAAGTGACAGCGTCTCTAAGAAATAAGACTTGAGAATAGAGAAGAGCAAGAAACAGGGTATGTGTGGTTGGTTTTCATTATAAGACTTTCATTTTATTAATGCTACTTAAATTTTATTTTTAAACTATCCCTTTGATAGAAAACACAAACAACAAAAACTTCCTAGATAGGACAACAACATTAACTTGGCTTTTTAGGTACATACTTTATCCTTAGGGAGGTGAGAAGGGTATATATTTCACATGCTCCAATCCAGGCCTTTGTTCCTTGTAACCTGTTATTAAGCTGAGAGGCACCCTGGGGATCAAAACCTTCCTTCCAAGCATCTTCAATCATAGACTGAATCTTTGGAATGCAAGGAACTGACATATCTAAAATTATAGAAAGCAAACATGTAATATGACAATTACTAAAGTGCTGAATAATATTTAGCAGTACATCACATATTTTACAAGAAGCTATCACTTTTAAGTCAACTATTTCTGACATCTACTATATCATTTTCTCTTTCTACAATCAGAATGAAGATTTTTAATGTAAATATCCACTAAAATACATCTTTATTAAAGCTATTAATTTTAATATGCATACTATATATTAATTCATTCCACATCATATGTACTTTATTAGATGGTAAATTCAGAGTCTGTATTTCATATACCTTTCAAGCTATCACCATAAGCATCATTTTGCAATAATGATGAAAGCAGCATTTGGAAATTTCTGTAACCACAACCCCAACCTTTATCACCAAAAGATGAATGAAAGTGATCCACTCCTGCAGAAAGCCACACACGCCTCACATCTGTGGCAGCATTCTGATAATACCTACAAAGAGCTTCCATAACTCCTAAAGTGGAAAAGAGATTTAGAAGGTTTAGAAGGGTATCACCTTTCATGGATGTCTCATACATTTCCAGTATCAATCTCTTTCTCAAGGGCACATGTAAATCTTGCCAATTCCATCTTCTACCTTTTAACTGCCATAGTCTTAGTCATTGTCCTGCTTGTTTCACACAATGCAAGGTTCCTAACACTAGCATATTACTTACTATGCTGAATTGAAATTGTTTGCCTTTTTCATTTCTGCATCTGCAGGGCCTAGCACATGAAAGTACACTGCTGAATGAATGTCCTTATCTCTCCATTTTATTATACATTCTGCTGGACATCATTCTCTCTGCTCAGTTCTAATCAATTTGCTCCCAATTTAAAAACTTCATTATGGTTTATCACAGTGAGTTGATTTTTATGTGGTATAATTACTTCCAATTGGCAATAAGAAATACCAAGATCTACATGAAGGAATTGTTTTTATGTACATATATATATATATATAGTTTTTTAACTTTTTATTTTATATTGAGTATAGGTGATTAACATTAACAATGTGATAGTTTCAGTGATTTAGTTATACATGATTCTGTTCTTTTTCAAATTCTTTTTCCCATTACGATTATTATATAATAGTGAACAGAGCCCCCTGTGCTATACAGGAGGTCCTTGCTGGTTATCAATTTTAAGGGTAAAAATATTTAAAGACAATAGAAAGGGATATGTTTATGATATCAAAGATGGAGGAATTTCTTAAATAAGACACTTAAGACACAAGTAAAGCAAAAGATTGAGAAATCTGATTACATTCAAATTTAATATTCTGCCTAATTAAAGACGCCATATACAAAATGTGGGCTTCCCTGATAGCTCAGTTGGTAAAGAATCTTGACCCCGGTTCGATTCCTGGGTCGGGAAGATCCCCTGGAGAAGGGACAGGCTCCCACTGCAGTGTTCTCAGGCTTCCCTTGCGGCTCAGCGGGTAAAGAATCCGCCTGCAATGCGGGAGACCTGGATTCAAGGCAAATTATAGATTTGAAGAAGAAAACTGCTCCTCATATAATCAATGAAGAATTAACATCTTGAATACTTAATGGACTTTCAAAAATCAATAAGAAAAAGACAAACAACCCAACAGAGACGAGAAAAGGGACTAGGTTATTTACAGAAGAAATGAGCTCAGGAGTCATCAGAGAAATACAATTAAGAGATGCAGCTCACCATTAAATGGCAAAAACTTAAAAGAGTCACAATATAAAGTGTGAGTCAAAACACACTGACCTAATGTAGGTTAAATACATTCTAGAAAACAACTTCATAATACTCTTAACAAAATTAATTATGCAAATGCTCTTTAACCTAGTATTTCTAGTCTGGATGTTAAAGAAACTTTTGAGGAGGAAACCTGTTCATAATTTTTAAGAATAAAACACTGGCAACAACGTAAGTCATAAAAGCAAATTCTATTCAGCAAAGTGAAAGCAGCACAGTTGTAAGAATCAACACATTGAAGCAAATCCAATCAGAGCATACATATTGTACACCAACTTACACATAGTTTAAAATATAAAAGATTATATATTATTATGGAAACTTACATACAAGATAAAGTTACTAAAACACATATGAGACTGATAAATACCAAATTCGGGATGATGATTCCCTTTGTGGAGGAGGAGAAATTAGAAATCAAAGAGGGGTACACAGGGGCTTAAAATACATATAAAACGTTTTACAGCTTAAAAACATTAAGTTTCATAAAAATTGGGTGGCAGGAAAAAAGTTGTTTCCATATAATCTTTTTTAACTATACTAACAGATATGTTTTTTAAAAATGTGGACAATATCAGGAAAAAAGTACATTCTTTGGAACAAGGCAGATCTGATTGTGAATACCAACTGGGCCAATAACTAGCTATGCAACCTCACCTTGTGCTAATTTGCTTCAGTCATGTCTGACTCTTTGCAACCTTATGGACTGTAGCCCTCCAGACTCCTGTTCGTGGGATTTACCAGGCAAGAATACTGGAGTGGGTTGGTTGCCATGCCCTTCTCCAGGGGATCTTCCCAACCCAGGGATTGAAACTGTCTCTCTTATGTCTCCTGCATTGGAAGGCAGGTTCTTTACCACTAGCGGCACCTGGGAAGCCCAACCTTACCTTAGGAAAGTAATTTAACTTCTCTAAGTCACAATTACCTCATCCAGAAAAATCTAATACACAAGATTTTTCTTTTGGAAGTTACATGATACAATGTATATAAAGGTCTTAGTGTCTAAAACTATACTGAACAATATGGCAGAAACTATTTGCATATAGTTATCTGAACACCTGAAATGTGTTCAGATGTGGCTTGTCCAAACTCAGATGTTCTGCAAACTAAAATACACACTGGATTTTAAAGAATGTACAAAGATTGCAAAATACTGCGCTGATAATTTTTAATACTGATTACACATTGAAATACATTTTGGACATACTGGAAAAATATGAAAATTAATTTCATCTAGCCTTTTTTTATTTTTCTAATGTGACTATTGGAAATTTAAAATTATTTATGTGGCTCACTTACATTCTACTAGACAGCAATTGTCTGGAAAATAGTAAGCTCTCAATAAAAACTATTCTCAAAGGTCCGTTTTCAAATGTCAAATAAATTGATACAAGATAAAAGTGAATCATTTACTATAAAAATAAAAGTTCAGGAGTTTTAAAACAACACACAAAAAAATTATTTGAATATATGGTCTCACCTAAAACTATATAAACTGTGGGTTGTGAAAATCAAGCACAATTCAAATAATCCTATTACTTCAGTGATGTATGCAATATTAAAACCATGACTTGGATGTTTAAATACTCACCAGACGTTTTTGTTTTTCCATCATCAACACCAATAGCTAGTGATTCCATCATATAAGCTTTTCTTCTATGAAATTCAGATGGATGCATTCTTCCCCTATTTACTTCTATCTCCATATTTCGTAGCTGCTGTTATTTGTACCCTCCAGAATTATCTAAACCATATTGTCTCTATTGAACATAAAAATAAATGACTTAATTTTTATGTCCCTTTACATCAGTGAGGTGAGAAATTTACCACTATTTTATGTATCTGGAAATATCTTTTGAAACATTCTGGTTTATAGACTTCTATATGAGCCAACTTACAGATTTTTATGAAAAATGATAACACAACAAAAAAATCCCTGAGTTAATAACAGGATTTTGTAGAGAGCCCTTCTCTACAAACAACCATCATGGCAAGAGACTTGTTTTCCTTGAAGTAGGGAAAGTAGAGAATCCAATCTTCCTACTAATGGTAATGTGACAAGCAGATGAGTTCTGACCATACTGCTGATTTTTTTCAAGACAACCTATCAAGGAACCTGTACTTGTTACTTGGTTCCTAGGCTAGCCTAAAAAGGCCTACTTAATCCACAATTCACTCAGGTATTCACTCTATGCAGTAAATGAACTATGTTTTTGCACACTGACAGAAAATCTAAAATAATATGTTAGAACAGCCCCTACAAAAATATTTCTGAGATCTAAACAACTAACCTGCAAAGTTACATAATAAACTTATACTCTCTTAAACACTGAAAACTTTTTGTATTGATAATATAAGATAGAGAGATATAGGAAAAGTCAACTTTTTTTTCCTCTGAATCTTGGTGGGAAAATAATTATGCAAATAGATGAACCACAGGTGAGAAAAATAGCCTAAATTAGATATTCTAAGGAAAGAATAGCCATGTGCAAGAAATCAGAGGAAAAAAAGTTAGAGGTCAAACAAGTTCAGGAAGATTATGATATGTACAATGCATATTAGTATATTAAAGGCTTTAAGAAGACATCAGGTACACAAACCTGTTTAATTGAACATTTTCAAACCTATTCATTCATAAACCCTTTTTATTCACACATTATCCTATAAGCACATACAAAAAGAACATTTAAAATCTATAAACATTATTAGCAAATGACTACATAGTCTACAGCAAGTTAAGACTGAAAAGAGTAGGAAACGCTGTAAAATATAAAAGCAGCTACCAGTTTAGTTCAGTAGATACACCTAAAATTGGCTCAAACTTCATAAAAAAGCATTTTCCATTAAAAATGGTTCTTTCTAAATTCCTGAACTGCAGTCACTAAAAGAATTTAAGGCTCAAGAGACATTAATTCTAAGTTTCAGTTTTAAGTATTTATACAAACATTTAAAATTCTGAGTCTCAATTTCTTAGTTTTCTCCATTAACATAGGTTTAAAAGTAGGCTTCACCATTTAATACTGCCCAATCCTGAACCAGTTAAGCTACATAAGTACTCTGTTTCCATTTCTTCATCTGCTGTTCCAAAAAAAAAAAAAAAAATCTAAAATAACTTCATGGAGTATGGAAGACTGTAAGATACTTTACATCAGGGTCCCCAACCCCAGGGCCACAGACTGGTACCAGTTCATGACCTGTTAGGAACCAGGCCACATAGCCGGAAATAAATAGGAGGTGAGTGAGCAAAGTTTCACCTGTATTTACAGCCGCTCCCCATCATTTCCATTACTGTCTGAAACTTTTGTCAGATCATCAGCAGCATAACAAATATAATGCACTTGAATCAACCTGAAACCATTCCCCCTGCCACTCCAGGTCCATGAAAAAACTGTCTTGGTCCCTGGTGCCAAAAAAGTTGGGGACTGCCACTTTAAAAGAAGTGTTTACCCCAGTATGTAAATGCATACTTATGAATGGTGGTTGTTATGAACTATAAAAAATATATGTAAAAAATATTTTGTATTAAATAAAGACAAAAATAATAGGCTGAAGTCTTAATAGCATGTTTGAAAACCAGGAATTCTAACTAAACCAAAATAATATAATTATACTTAATCTTTGTACCTGCAGCTTCTGAAATTCTTCCATTTCTTGTCTTGATTCTTCAGATCTCCTCTTTCGGTCTTCTTGTTGAAGCTGTTGAGCCAACTCTAGATCTCTAGAACACTGCACTCTATTCACATCTATTTTATATTTTTAATGTTTAGAATAAAAGACTGCAATCAAGGCTCACTTATATGTTAGTACACATTTTTTAAATGGAATAAAGGCTATTATTTTTCCATTTATTCATGACTATGATGTCATAGAAACACTGAATATAAATCCAGCAGAATTTAAACTGCCTCTATAAGGGTACAACCTCCACTTAAATCACTAATATTCACTGAATGTTTAGGCTGTAACAAACACTTCTCATTAATTATCATTAATTATCTCATTTGGATCTTCATAACAGTTAGGAAGTATTATTATCTATTGAAGAAACCAAAACTTAAGAGAAATTAAGTAGCACCCTAGAGTGGTGCCCCTTATAAATACATATAAGGCAGATTGGTTTTTAAGAGAAATACTTGGGGAGGGTGCGGTGTGCGGAAATAATTAAGAGAATAAAAAAACAAGTGAGCAAAGTACAGAAATTAGATCATAACCTAATGTCTGACCTCAAGCAAATAGTATAACTTGCCCATTTTGCTCTCTATCCAGTGTCCTACACATCCATTATTCAGTGCCCTCTGGCTAGCATCTCCTTGATCTCCCAATTTGATGGTTTAATTATGTATCTGAATATTCTTTCTTTCCCTTCAAATCTCTCAGCCTCTGATACCTCTTCTTACTGGTCCCCACTTCTACTGGTGGAAATATGCAATCCAATACTGATTTTTAGCATACTTATGAGGCAATCTACAGTGATTTGCTCAGATTCGCCTCAGACTCCAGCCTATGGAGTACACACAGCCCACGTGTAAGCCTACGGAGGTAACAGAGTAACTCATGTACCCATTCAAAGCTTGGGTCTCCCTGGGGGCTCAGTGGTGACTCAGTAGCAGCAGCATACAAAGCTTATCATAAGCTTATCAGAAACTCAACTTCAGAGTTATTCTTCCACAGTAATTAGTAAAGAACCAACACAGTGAAGAACGGTTCCATCTTTACTCCAGCAATTCTCATCTTGGTATTAGGCTGAGTGATCGGTATAATGCTGTCCATGGACATCACTAACTGGTACTAGGATCGCTGATAATGAATACTAGAAACCTCTGCATTGACAGGAGATATCTATGTACCTTAAGAAACTGATATCCAGTAGAACACAACTGGTTTCTCTTTTGGTCTACTTTATATTTTGTTTCAATGGAATTGTGAAACTCATAGGATCTTTCCACTTCTAAGGCACCATCATGATTACTTAACCAATGCCACTAGCAAAAAAGATAGGGGAACAGAAGAAAACTTTATAATCTCTTATAAAACTAGTCATGGTAATAAAGAAGCTAGAAGAGTAGTTGAAAATGTACTTGAAAAACTTTGAAGTCACATACTTCACATTCTTTTTAAAATTACATGTGCCATATGGCAGCTTCTGAGTTCATGAACAATTTTTACTAATAAGATGTTAAATTCAATTAATTCCAGCTGTTAAAAGAATGGCCTCAAATTTCAAATCAAAAAGATTTAAAAAATGGTACAATATGTCATTATCTTCTGATGTTCTGGGTCAAAACCCTGGATGTACACCCCTAATTCAATTGTTGGCCACACCAGTTAATCCTTTACAATCTTTTCTGTGAAAAATTTTTGACAAATTGAAGCTGTATTAAAATTTTTTAAGGGACAGATTTATTTTTAACCAACGTATTTTCTTCCCCTCTATAACACTAATCTAAAAAGTAGATAATGTCCTAGGAAGTAGAAATTAAATCATAACATCCTTATCTTTAAACATATAGTCATACCTTGTCCAAAGCTGCTTTCTTCCAAATGCAAGTCAACGTGTTCCTGCAGAATATGGTAGTTTGTACAAATAAGCCCACACATAGGGCAGTCATAGAGTAGTTGATTACAGTCTGTATTAGAGATATAATTTAGTTGGTTTTATTTTTAAAATCTTTAGATTTTTCACATCAAGTCAAAGACTGTCTACTACTCACTAACTTTATTAAGTAAAAGCTCTTTGTAGCTGGATTCAAAGCAATTTTCTACTTCTAGATGAAAGACTGAGCATAAGCACAAACCTCTTATCACTACAGTGAAAGAAAACATTAACAATAAATATTCAGCTCTGTAGTCAAAATAAGAAAAGTAGAAAGGGAAATCAAATGGTAAGTAGTGGTCAATCTCGAAATGGATTTTGCGGGCTGGATTCTCAGTACCCTCCAAACTAAGTGGTGATAGGCAGAATTCAAGCATTCAGCGTAAAGCTGGACACTGGGATCAAATGCCCTAGTTGGGCGCATAAGATCCAAGAGCTGCATCCATTAAGCAGCATTGCAGACAGACAGGTACAACTTGCCCAAGAGAGAAATGGTGCCTCTGTAAGACCAAGACCTAGCTGATACTGGGTACAGAAGATGTTATTAGAATATCACAAATTAAAATAAAACAATACTACATACATATTAGAATGACCAAAATCTGGATAGTCAAAATCTGTATGATCAAAACTCAGGTTTTTCCTAGTTATGTATGGATGTGAGAGTTGGGCCATAAAGAAGGCTGAGAGCTGAAGAATTGATGCTTTTGAACTATGGTGCTGGAGAAGACTTCTGAGGGTCCCTTGGACAGCAAGGAGATCAAACCAGTTAATCCTAAAGGAAATCGACCTTGAACATATTGGAAGGACTGATGCTGAAGCTGAAGCTCCAATACTTTGGCCATTGGCCACCTGATATGAAGAGCCATTCTTTGGAAAAGACCTTGATGCTGGAAAAGACTGAGGACAAGAGGAGTGGGTGACAGAGAATGAGATGGTTGGATGGCATCACTGACTCAATGGACAGGAGTTTGAGTAAACTCAGGGATATATTGAAGGACAGGGAAGCCTTGTGTGCCACAGTTCATAGGGGTCACGAAGAATTGGATGTGACTTAGTGACTGAACAACAACAACAAAATCACTGACAACTGCAAATGCTGGCAAGGACACGAGCAACAGGAACTCTCATTCACTGCTGGTGGGAATGCAAAATGGTTCAATCACTTTGAAAAAGTCTGGCAATTTCTTATGAAACCAAACACACTATTACTACATGAGCCAAAATCACGAATTCCCTTGTGTTCATCAAAATGAATTGAAAAGTACTGTCCACACAAAAGCCAGTACAGTTTATAGCAGCTTTATTCATAATTGCCAAAACTTGGAAGCAACCAAAGGGACCTTCAGTAGGTGAACAGAAAAACTATGGAACATCCAAAAGATGATTATTCAATGTAAAAAAAAAAACCTATTAAGCCATAAAAAGACAGAGGAATCTTAAATGCACATTGCTAAGTGAAATAAATCAATATGAAAAAGCTACATGGCATATGATTCCAATTATATGACACTCTGGAAAAGGCAAAAACATGGAGACAATAAAAAGATCAATGGTAGCCAGTGGCCACAGGGAGGGAAGGATGAACAGGTGGAGCATAGGGGATTTTCAGGGCAGTGAAGTTATTCTGTATGATACTAAATACTAAATGGTGGGTTCATGTCATTATACATTTGTCAAAACCCGTGTACATCACCAAGAGTGAGCCCTAATATAAACATGGACTTTGGGTGACATTGACATCAATGTAAATTCACTGACTTTGACAAATGTTTCACTTGGTATGGGTTGGTTGTTGAATGCCAGAGGAGTTTATGAAGATACAGGGATGGGGGTACTTGGGTACTCTCTGTACTTTCTATTAAATTTTAATGTAAACCCGAAACTTCCCTAAAAAATAGCATTTATTAAAATCCAAAACACGAATATATGCCCTCCTCCTTAACCTCTCATAAAAATTATTCAAATGAATCAGACTTAAATGTAAAATTCAAAATTTCTAGAAGATAACATGGGAAAGGTGACCTTGGGTTTGGCAGAGTTTTGATACACCACCAAAAGCACCACTCATGAAAAAAGAAATCAAATAAGGCAAACTTCATTAAAAGTAAAAACTTCTGATCTGTGAAAGACACTGTTAAGAGAATGAAAAGACAAGTCTCAGACTGGGAGAAAATATCTGTGAAATATTTGCAAAAAAAATTTGCAGAATCCAATAAAGGACATGCATCCACAATATATAAATTATTCTTAAAAGTCAACAGTATCAAAGAGACACATGATTCTAAATGTGTATGCACCAACAACAGAGCTTCAGAATACATGAAACAAGTCTGATAGAGCCTAAAGGAAAAACAGACAAATACACTGGGATATATAGATATATAGAGATCATGATTGGGAACTTTAACCTCCGTCCAAAAACTGGTAGAACGGCTAGACAGGAAATCAATAAGGACATGGAAGATCTGAACACAATCAAACAACACACTCTAACTGACAAATATAGAACACTTGATCCAACAACAGCAGAATATACATTTTTTTCCTCAAATGTCTATGGAACATGTGAACATGTGCTAAGACAGACCACATCCCATATCTTAGGCCATAAAACAAGTTTCAACAACTTCAACAAATTCAAAAGAACTTAAAGTTTGCTCTCTGATCAAAAAAGAATCATAGTAGAACTCAGTAACAGAAAATCAGAATCCCAGACAATCCAGATGCCACTGGCCTGGTGGTAAATAAAAGAATACCCTCTGGGTCTTCCCTGTGGCTTAGATGGTAAAGAATCTGCCTGCAATGCAAGAGACCCAGGTTCCATCCCTGGGTTGGAAATATCCCCTGGAGAAGGAAATGGTAACCCACTCCAGTATTCTTGCCTCGAGAATTTCATGGACAGAAGAACCTTGTAGGCTACAGTCCATGAGATCACAAAGAGTCAGACAGGACTGAGCAACTAACACTTTCATTTTCACTTTCATCCTCTGGAAACTAGACTCTGAATCTACTTCTCCTCAGAAAGTTTCTACAGACTACTTTCGAAGTAGATGAAACATGTACTGTTTGCATCAAGCAACTCCTCCAGCTCAACTCCAGAAAAATAAATGACCCAATCAAAAAATGGGCCAAAGAACTGAACAGACATTTCTCCAAGGAAGACATACAGATGGCTAACAAACACATGAAAAGATGCTCAACATCACTCATTATCAGAGAAATGCAAATCAAAACCACAATGAGGTACCATTACACACCAGTCAGGATGGCTGCTATCCAAAAGTCTACAGGCAATAAATGCTGGAGAGGGTGTGGAGAAAAGGGAACCCTCTTACACTGTTGGTGGGAATGCAAATTAGTACAGCCACTATGGAAAACAGTGTGGAGATTTCTTAAAAAGCTGGAAATAGAACTGCCATATGACCCAGCAATCCCACTTCTGGGCATACACACCGAGGAAACCAGATCTGAAAGAGACACGTGTACCCCAATGTTCATCGCAGCACTGTTTATAATAGCCAGGACATGGAAGCAACCTAGATGCCCATCAGCAGACGAATGGATGAGGAAGCTGTGGTACATATACTCCATGGAATATTACTCAGCCATTAAAAAGAATTCATTTGAATCAGTTCTAATGAGATGGATGAAACTGGAGCCCATTATACAGAGCGAAGTAAGCCAGAAAGATAAAGACCATTACAGTATACTAACACATATATGTGGAATTTAGAAAGATGGTAACGATAACCCTATGTGCAAAACAGAAAAAGAGACTCCTATGTATAGAACAGACTTGTGGACTCTGGGAGAAGGCGAGGGTGGGATGTTTCAAGAGAACAGCATCGAAACACGTATATTATCTAGGGTGAAACAGATCACCAGCCCAGGTTGGGTGCATGAGACAAGTGCTCGGGCCTGGTGCACTGGGAAGACCCAGAGGGATCGGGTGGAGAGGGAGGTGGGAGGGGGGACCGGGATGGGGAATACATGTAAAAAAAAAAAAAAAAAAAAGATACACTATGGTTGTGATAAAAAATAAATAAATAAATAAATAAAATAAAATAAATAAATAAAAAAAAATTAAAAAAAACTCTTTGCCATTATAGTAGTTTCATATTACAGTAATGGCAAATGAGCAATGCTATAAACTGAAATTAAAAACACATTTGTAGTAATCTTATTTACAAACCAACTTTTGGGATACTACATATTAAATTGAGACTAATGCTACTTATTATATTAAAATGAATATTTACCTTCTAATGGAGTGTCTAAAAGATCAGCATGCTTTGTTTTCACATGAGTTTCCATAGCTTGACTATTATCTTCTATTTTTCCACAGAATGGACATTCAGGAGGACTGTACATTGTTTCATAAATTGATTCTTTAAGTTTGGTTCGGTCAGACTGTTTTTCCATACTTTTCAGGAATTTTCTAGAGTCAGTTAAGTTCTCTGAATAAAAGTCTTTATGTTTTAAAGTACCATCCTTTGGCAGGCTTTGAGCTGAAATCTTCGGCTGATTAGATGCACAAGCTGAATGAATACCTGAATTAATGTCTGCTCTACACTGTAGGCTGCTGTCCTTCCTGTTATCGGAAGTTCCATACTGTCCTGTATTGATCCTCTCAAAGTTTCTTTCTAGTTCATTTTGCTCAAAATGAGCAGTTTCAATATGAAAACACATTTCATCATAATTCACACCTGACAACTTGCAAAATGGACATATAACTTCATTTTCCATGTGAACAATTAGGAGGTGAGCCTTCATGTCTGGTTCTGAGAATACTGTTTCACCACAAATATCACAAGATAGCATGGTAGAGCAGGTAACTAGAAAAGAATACAATGTTATTTATGTTAGTAAGAGCTGAAGACCAAGAAAATACATTTTATAAAAGGATTTGAAACAACTATATTTGTTATTTATAGCTAGATTATTTAGATGAAGAAATTGTCAATGTCCTTGCTGCTGCTGCTAAGTCGCTTCAGTCGTGTCCGACTCTGCGCAACCCTGCAGACGGCAGCCCACCAGGCTCCCCGTCCCTGGGATTCTCCAGGCAAGAACACTGCAGTGGGTTGCCATGTCCTTCTCCAATGCATGAAAGTGAAAGGTGAAAGTGAAGTCGCTCAGTCGTGTCCGACTCTTAGCAACCCCATGGACTGCAGCCTACCAGGCTCCTCCGTCTTCACTGTCCTTCCTGTTCCTCAAATATACGAATTTATTTATAAATCTCAACCAAATCTTCACTACTGTATTTCAAGTTCATAGTTTGGATAAAACAAAGGCAAAGCGAAAGTGAAGATGCTCAGGCGTGTCTGACTCTTGTGGACTGTAGTTCATCAGGCTCTTCCATCCATGGGATTTTCCAGGCAAGAATACTGGAGTGAGTTGTTATTTCCTTCTCCAGGGGATCTTCCTGACCAGGGATGGAGCCCTGGGTCAGACTCTTTACTGTCTGTGCCACCAGGGAATCCCTAAACAAAGGCAATGATACTGCATATTAAACAATTTTTCAAAAATTTCAAAGTGTGTCTGGACTGAGGTGAAGAAAAAATAACGTATATAAACTCGCCCAGGTAAAATAAGCCAAGTAAGAGAAAACAAAGAGAAGAAACCTTATCAACCAATACATCTAAATACAAAAACTTTTTAAAGTTATTAATAATGAGTTGCACAAATAAACAAATTTCATAATAGCAGTTAACAGTTAAAGAGTTTTACATGTCAAACTAATTTAAGCACCATTACTATCATTCTGGGATTCACTGATGGCTCAGCGGTAAAGAATTCACCAGCAATGCAGGAGACGCAGGTTGGATCCCTGGGTCAGGAAGATCCCGAGGAGGAGGGCATAGCAACCCACTCCAGTATTCCTGCCATGAAAATCCCACGTACAGAGGAGCCTGTCAGGCTATATAGTCCATGTGGTTGTAAGGACCCCCCTGCCTGTGAGGTCCAGTGTAGAGTCCAGGGGAGCGTGCCCATGGAGGGGTCAGCCCCAGGGGGAGTGAAGAGCAAGAGGGGAAGGCCTCCCCAGAAACCACCCAGGAAACACCCCGGGGCGCAGTCTCGGGCTGCTATGGGGCTCAGCACACCTGGCTCCGACTCAGAGCCCCGAGGACCCCTCCCTCTGAGGCAGCATGAGTACCTGGAGCCCAGCGCGGCAGAGCACAGAGGTGAGGAGGCTGGGGCTGGGAATCTGAGTGTGTGGGGAGGGGTGTGGGGCTTCCCAGGGAGGAGTCCTCCAGAGCTGGGGCTGGGCCTGGAGCAAAGGCTGGCCTCACACCATCTTGCAGACTGCAGTCAGAGAAGGCATCCTATGCTGGGGATTCTACTGGAAGTTCTGGGAAGATTTAGAGCCCAGTTAGGCCCGTAACAAGGGAGACCTGTGGGGAGTCTCTTCTTCTCTCCCAGCTCTAGCTCTGACCTTCCAATTCAACCAGGCTCCATTTCCAAGACCTGTCCCTACAGAGGTGGTTGCTCCACATGTAGGACCCAGGGATCCACTGAGGGGACATCGAGACCTGATCCATCCTGTCTCAAAGACACCGGGCCAGCTGGTTACTGGCCACCACTCTGGGCAGATCGGACCTCTGTGCCTGCATGACCCCCAGCCCCAGGCACCGATGTCCCACCCCCTCAGCCCGAACATCCACTTGCACCTGCACCTGCACCTGCTCAGGCTTTGGCAGAAGAACCCGAGTCAGGGCATGAGTTACCACCTCTGCAGGGAGAGCCTGCCCTGGCTCCTGCCCAAGACCGAGACGCCCATGATGACTGACCAACCGCTGCAGGGAGAACGGGCCCCCGTTCTGGACAGAGACCCAGAGCCCGTTCTGGAAACACCAGGTCCAGGGGAGCCGTGGGCTCTGCAGGCGCGATCCCTGTCTGCCCCCCGTGGATGCCATCACCTCGCTCCCCACCCAGGGGAGACTGAGATCCCTTCCCTTGAGGGTCTTTTCATTTGGATTTTCTCTAACTTTTTTGTGCTCTTTTATTTGTTCTATGGTGTTCTGTACTTTTTTTGGTTCAGTTTTAACGAACCAAAATTATTCATTTGTTTAAATGAAATAAAATTATTCATTTATTTAATAATCACAATTTAATAATAACAATTATTGTTATATAATAATTGTTATTGTTGTTAACAATTATTATTGTTTAACAATAACAATTATTAAACATTGTTGGAATTTGGGAACACTGAGGACCTACAAAGTGCTGTGTGACCATTGCCACCTTGTAGTTTCAGACCCTTTTCATATTTCCGCCTCACCTCCCAGCAAACCCTGTATTCACGGCAAGCACTCCCTGTTCTTCTGTCTCCCTGGCCATGAACAAACTTGAAACCTTTTCTTTCTTCATTTCTTCCTATATTCTGGGTGTCCCCATCAATGACTATCAGTGAAATAATGAGGTACTTTTGTTCTGACTCCCCACATTTTGCAAGGCTTCGTTTGAGAATTCTTGTTTTGATTTCATTTGAAGTACCTTTGAGTATCTGAAAGGATGGTGTAGGTACTTTCAAGATATCATGGGCCAGATGAAGCCTTTTAGGCAAATGCCATCATATTCCCCAGGCAGACATTGCTGTTGTTAAGAATGACATCTCAGCCAGAAGGCAAATGCTGAGCTCTTCCTGTGGCACAAACTCACAAAAGAAGCCAAGAAAGACAGCTGGAAAAACAAACAACCCCAACAACTAGGAAGCCATTCCTCATGAGACAAGGCTAGAGAATGACCTAACATCCTGGTGACCCAAAAACCCTCTAGAAAATTCATGTTCTGGAAAGAAGAGAACACATGGGAAGAACTAAGGAGAGGCAATGCACATGGCCAGTCTAGTTTAGAGATGGCCTGACTGCTCAGATGGAGACGCACCAATGTAAACCCTTTGCAGACAGCAGTGATGGTCATCTGCTTGAATTGGAATGGTTGAATTGGAATGGTTACCATGGTAACTGTTTCCTCTGGTGACAACCTGCCCTGGGCACCACACGAGGGAGCAGACCTGGTTCTCGTCCTCTGGCCCCACACCACTCCCTCATGAAGGCAGCTCACCATCCATGAGCTCTTACCACCTCCAGGGCAGGCCTCCACTTTCTCCTCTCTGTGCACCGTGAACCTGCACACAGTGGGCCTTCAGAACCTCAGGAGACTCGAGCCATTCCCACTATAGCCAGGACCCTCCCCAGGCATTAAAACGCCTGTGGCGTCACTTTGGCCCAAGCACTGGTTCCAGAACCCTGGAGGCTATGACACCCTCTCCACTGTGAAGAGTCAGGTCCCTTTGTACAGAGCTTCTGAGCTGTCAGATCTGAGCTGTTGTTTCATTGTCAGCTCTGTCCGTCCGGTGGCAGCCAGGTGGGCCACACTGCAGACAAAGGAGCTCACAAGCTGAGTTTCAAGGGAGGGATGGCAAGGACAGCGAGGGATACAAACTGAGGGAGGGTCCCCACAACATGTGGAAAAGGCCTGTGGTGTGAAAGTGGAGAGTAGGGCCCCCAAGGTCCACAGAAAGAGAGGTACTCGGGAGCAAAGGCCGTTGGCTTCTCCTCTAGCAGCTCCACATGGCAGCCCGTGAACAGTAGTCAGCAAATGTGGTCACATGAGGGTGACTCTGTAACTTCCTCAGAAATCGAGAGAAAGGTGTCAGTGTAAGTGGGAATCTGGAGGGTGTGGTGGGGTGGATGAAGCGAGGTGCCCTTCCTCTCTTCAGCAAACTGCTTTTGTGATTCTCAAAGCTACCAGATGGCAGTTACCAAGTCAGGTCCCAACAGTATCCAGTATGGGCTGATGCCTTACCCCTGACACACGGACAACCCACGTGGCTTCCCTGCGTTCAAATGGCAGGATCCGGGGGTTCTGTCTGGGTTCACACCTCCTGGCTGTAGGCACGTGACCCCCTTCTCTGAGCACCAGCCTCATGCTCTAGAATGAGGACATCGACTGCTCCCTTAGCAGGTTTCTATCTCAATCCTGTGAAGACTAATTCGGGTTATCCTAGAATTAGTATCTGACCCGAAGAGACATCACCTGAATCCAGATTCAACTGGAGTCTCCCAGTGGCATCTGGCATTTCTTCCTGAAGCCAGCCAAAACCCACACAGTTGCATTTCGATGTCTCCACTCAGCCAGCTGGATAGAAAACCCCGCGAGGTTCAAACAAGCTGACAGAAAAGCAGAAGAGTACTCACGAGCAGACGGCTTCCCTCAGGTCTCAGGAGGAGCTCCGGGTCCACACCGGGAACGGGTGCTCTCAAACCCTGGGCTCAGCAGCGCCCTCATCCTCAGGCTGGCGGCTCTGCCCTGATGGGAGCTGGAAGGCCACCAATAGCCCCAGGCCGACCTCATGCCCCTCGCACTGCTGGAGCCTGACATCTGCCAGCCGCACCCCTTCCGGCGGAACCAGAGCCCCTCTTCCCCGTGATTCCAGGGTCAGGCCTGGCCCTGGGTCCTGATTGGTCACTGCCCTCGTCCTGAGCCAATCACGGTGGCCAGGGAGGACGGAACACACCCACTGGCCAGGTCCAGGTCATGTCGCCGTACTCGAGGGCACGTGGGAGCTGCTCGCTGGGTGTCAAGGGGTGCGATGCCCCAAGAGCAGGGCTAGGAGTCCAGTCACTGTGTCCGTGTGCTCAGAGTCCGGGGACGTGCTTCCCCGCATCCTCTCGACGCACCACTTTGTCCTCTGCAGACAAAATGTCCATGACACCCCTCTGCCCTTCCCAAGCCCTGTTTCCCATTCAAGGGAGCAAGGACTCCTGCTTCAGGATGGCTTGGGAGGTCCTCTGCTAGCCTATTAGAATAAATTA